GATTCGCGACGTCTCATCTCTTGGACGTACCTCTGTTGCTCCTTGAGCTCCAACCCGTAACGAAACGCCCTTTGTCTACTCTCCTTCCGCTCCATTGCGATCAAGTTGGCGTTCATCTCTATCTGCCTCTCGAGAGCTTCTCTCTCCTCCATCTTGAACCGTTGTTCTTGCTCATCCGCCTCCTGCTTCGCCCTCAGCTGTTCCTCCCGGCCGCGAAGGACTTCCTGCGCAGCGCGCTGGCGAGCTTCCTTGAATTTCCTCATCGCAAGGTTGCGTCGCTCTTCGACATCCCTGTGCGACTGCTCAACGATGGCTTCTACCTCTAGATTCCGTTTGACCTCTTCCTGCCGCAAGTCCTCAAGATACTTCAGATAAGCCAGTAATTCCGCCCGAAGAGCCTTCGTGTCCTTCTTCGCGCTTGCCTTTTCCTTGGCCAATTCCTCTTCGACTAGCATGTTGAATACGCGATCCACCGTGGCCTCTTCGCGAGCGCGCTCAACGAGAAACCTCTTCGCCGTCAGAATCTGTTCCTCCAGTTCCCTTTTCAATTTTTCCCTCTTCTGCTTTTCCGCTTCGAGATTCTGCAATTCCGCTCGACGCACGTCTTCCCACAACCGCTCCAGATGTTCCCGTCGTTCGTCCTGTTTGGCCCGGTTTCTTCCCTCTTTTAGCACTAGCCTATCCTCCACTTGCCTGGTTAAAGCGAGCGCCATTTCTTGCTGCGCTAAAGCACGCTTTTCGGATTCCTCCGTCTCTTCGCGCTTTTTCGCCTCGAGCTCCTTCAGCATCAGCTTGTGCCATAAATCGTCCAATTCCTTCTCGGCTGATCTCTTCGCCTCGTTATCCGCCATCTGCGCCACGTTACATCGCTTCGCGTCGATCGCCCGTCTCCTTGACAGCTCCTGCTTGATATCTGGACACGCGGCAAGATATTGCTGCATCCGTTTGGCAGCCACCATCGCCTCGTGTTCCTCTTCGCGTCGTTTCCTCAGCTCTTCCGTTCTCGCTCGCATTTCCTCGAGTCGCGCGTCCTCACCCCGCCGCGCCTCCTCCGTGATCTCTCTCGTCAGATTCATCTCGTCGCTCAACACGAGATCGCGCAGCTTCTCTCTACGCTTCTGCAAATTCTCCTCGTATGTCGACATGTCTGAGGATTAGTCGTTGTCGCATTAATGATTGGTAATTATCCCCGTTCAACAGCTCCCATTACACAAATGACGATAATATGTCGAATCCAAGCAGACATAAGATATAGATTTATGTGTAACGAGTTGCGGTTAAGTGATAAATAAGTAGTGTCTAAAGTACGTAATCTTATCACTTTTTAAATTTTCTTTGAAAACCTGATATTAATATATAATTATTAATATTAATTAATAATTAATATCTAAAATTAATTTTGTAAAATTAAACATAGATCTCAATTACAATTTTGTATAATTAAAATCTATCAAAATTCAAGGAAAAGTAAAAGACGGAAATTACATGTATGATAATTACAAAAAAATGTAGATATATTTTTTTGTTTTCGTCCATCTTTTACGCTCATGTAAATAATAAAAAAAATTATTGACATCTGCTTCAATACCTTGTTGAACTCGTCGGCGAAGATTTTTATTCCTGATCTTTCGATCAGTCTCTTTCTCAAATTCCAAAGTTTTAAGAAACTGTTCATACTCCCTCTTATCCTCCTCCGAGCCCTCGAAGATAGATTTAACATGGTACTTTGCGACCTGGCAATTTCCGCGTTCGCGTAACTTGTGCCCGTAAGATATATTTGCCGTACCGGTAACATCAATGGGATATTTTCTCGTTTTCGGTAAACTGCATTGTACTTTAGGTAACGGAAGTAGACTCATCTTTTGAAGTTAATCATAAAAAAAGAAAAAAAAACGAGATTGAAATACCATATAATAATATACTATTTTATGTAGGATTTAATAAATTATATCTATTTTTTTATAATGTTTTAAATTTTATATATATATATATTCCACACAATATGATGTAAGCACAAATTGCATAATCAATTATGCATTCAAAATTCTTATATCTCTCTATAAGAAAGTTCCCAGACATTGATATCTCAAACTCTGCTATCTTATATCAGGTCCTTATCGTCATAATTTTAGTAGCCGATAATACTCACTGATCTATCTCGTTGATCCTCATGCCTGAGCAGTTATGCGGAAGTTAAAGCCGGAGGACAGTAATGACGTCCTTCCCTCTCCGCCGCGTGACGTGCGGCGCACTCCTTCAAGAGGGCTTTAAACGGATGCGGCGTGATGTTTTCGGAAGCTTTCAACAGCTCGTCGGTGAGTTTCTGATACTCATCCGCCTGCCTCACTGCCTCTTCTCGGTGATACCTTCGGTCCTCTTC